GGGGGGGGGGGGAGTATGCATTGTTTGTTATTGTTATTGTTTTATCCCAAAAGGGGAAATTCCAAGACACTGGTGATTTGAAATCTTTACATTGGGTTTATGTCTTAATCCTGCTTCAGGACTTCTGATAGAATCTGCTTTATCTATCTGAAGTCGTTGGGAGTAATAGACCAGTGGTTCCCAAGAATGTCTGCACAGTTAAACTGCCTGGGAGCTCTGAAAAATTCCACTGCCAAAATTAAAGCAGAATATCTGGTATGTTTTTAAAGATTTTTCAGGTGATTTCAGTATGTAGCCAACTTGAAAACCATGGGTCTAGACTGAGCCAAACCCCTGGCTCAGATACACGTCGAATGAGACTCATTTTCTCTGCCAAGTCTATGCCCAAATCCTAATACTGAAATGACCACTGGGATCCAATAGTTGGACACCACTTGTCATTTGTCATTTATTTGGCCTCCACATACTATTTGTTCACTTTGGTTGAGGACATGAGCTAATAACTCTGGCAGCATGTAAGATTCTTTATATAAAGTTTTAAAAAATGGTATTTAAAAATCTCAGCAATTAATCTTAATTGGAAGATTGCTCTACCCATTAAATTTTTCCTGTTTTGGTTCCTTTTTGGAATCTGGTATTCATCTAGTTGACAAAACCATTGCCATTCCTGTTCCTTAAGTATGTAGCAAGCTAAAAATACCTGAAACCCCCTCATAAAAAATGACAAGGACACCAGAAGTTTCTCTAGTATAGTTTCACTAAACGTCTCCTGACCACCAAGGATCTGAAAGTCAGCCTCAGCTTTGCATGTGTGCAGTGGTAAAGACCAGCCTGCACCTGTCACCTACAGGGTGGCCCCTTAGAGACCAAACAAGGCCTGCTCTCTGTCGCTGCACTCTCTTGAGTGGTCGAGACAGTGAGCTCACAGCCATAGCCCTTCGCTGGCACCCTGCAGTAGACAAAGCTGAAAGAATTGTCTGTCATTGGGACAAGTGTGACTGGACTCCTGTCTCTCTCTATCTACTT